ATACGCCGCTAGCCCAAGGAATTTTCGAAGACCTTTGACATCAACCGGCACAGGCCAGTCGGTGATCGCCTTGATCTTTTCGGGATCAGGACGTACACCGTTCTTACCAACGATGCACCCAAGAAGTGGTATTTCGCTTGCTGCAAATATACACTACTTGAGGTTTGCACACAATTGATGCTTTCGCATGATTGTAAGAACCTGTCGGACGTGGTACCTGTGAACCTCAACGTCCGACTTTCCATCCATAGCTCGACTATGGATGAATATGTCATCGAAATATCTCGGCGCGAATTCTCGTACTGGTCTCAACAGATGTGATACACATCTGTTGAACGTGGCAGGGGCATTACTAAGCCCTTGTGGCATTACTAGCCATTCCCAGAGCATGACGCTAGGCGTGCTAACTGCAGTATAGGGTATGTCCCGTTCCCGCATAAGGATTTGATAGAAGACATCCATCAAATTCATGGACGAAAAGATGGTACTCTTTGACATACCATCAATGATTACGTCCTCCCTCGGTATCGGCGTCTGAGCCGGTGCCGTTGCAGCGTTCAATTTGTTGAACGCGTGCACTATCCGCCACCCTCCTGTTGCTTTTCGCACACAGAAGGTCGGAGAGCTATGTGGGGAGTTGATTCCCTCACATGGCCCGCAGCTAAACGATCGGCAAAGAAATTGTCGATCGCAAGTACTTGTTCACGAGGCAGTGGCCACTGCTTCATGACACAGTACTTCGAGCCTGGTTTAAGCTCGACCTCGTGTCGAATACCTTTATCCTTCGGTAACGCGCACGGAACAGTTTCAGGGAATACATTCTTGAATTCAACCAAATCTTCATAGAGAGGATTTGTCTTGAGCGATTCCCACGATTGGGAGTCATATCGCTCAATTCGTGTCTTTTGATCTAGGACACTCTCGTCCATAGATGAACTCCTGAGAACTCTCTCGTTCTCAGTGAACACTGTTGCTGACCTTATGTCGGCTACACACTCGTCGTCAGCGACGAGTACGCAGATCTGCTTGACTTTGCCGCTACGCATATCACGCAAGAACCTTTTATGTTCGAGCGTTGGCAACTGAGTGATCTCCGAAGTTAACTTCGGAGGAGTAATCAGATCAAGTGTATAAGCGCCTACACTTGATCCGTTATTGACTATGACATTCAAGGTCTCTGTCATTTCCTGGGGACTTATTCCCTCAGGCCTCGAAGGACTTATTCCTTCAGCTTCCCGGGGACTTATTCCCACGGGTTTCGGGGAACTTATTTCCGCCGTATTTTTTTTATCTTGGGACTTATTCCCTTAACTTCCTCTAGCTGGGGTTGCGCAACCACAGCGAGATCCTCTACGAAAGACTCTCCAGTCGATCTAGGATTATCGTTTCGCTTAACCTGAGCGATCGATTGTTTCTCTTCTAGATGTCCCCCGCTAGGGATACATCTTTGTCCCGGTCCACTCGACTTATTCGAGTAATGGACCTTCGGCGCAGCCCGTGTTTCCTCACAGCCGCCGAAAGCTTGCTCCGAAGTGTAACTGTTTGTTACAATAAAATTTTGGTGCAGTCATACTAACGACCGTACCACAAGTGAGGCCATCGCACTCACTCGTAGCACATCCACACGCTTGTGGACGCTCCAAAACGTTCATCAGATGGTCATCTGATGAACAAGCGGCAGGCATCGTTACTGTTCGATGTTTCCAGTTTACCCGTGGTTCGTACCTTCTGAGCCACGGTACTCCAGGGATGACATTAGATTTGCATCCAAATCCAATACGACAAAGTCATCATCATATTGAGTATCTTCTAGCGTATGGTGGATCTTCACTATACGCTTTATGACGGTTACGGATGCGCCTGTCGTAAGACGTACCGTCATCCTCGTAGGAGGTGTGTCACATTCACTGAACTTAAAGTGACCATCTTCTAGTGATTGGCGTTGCACAAAATTGTTAGACGCCCCACAATCGACTAGAGCTCGAAGGGACAACTTATTCGTCACTTCGAGTTTCAAGGTAATGAGTGAGACCTCATTACCTAGAGCAGCAACGCACAACGTTTGTGTGTTGGGAGCAACCTTCATCAAGAGGCCTACAAATTCTCTTGACGTTGCTGGACCAGTAGGGTGCTCCGCAACTACTGATCCCGTCCTTTTGTTTGAAGGTCCATCCCGTTGTTGCGTCTTTGCACCAACAGCGGACCCGCGTCCCTGCCCCTTTTTCATGGGTGGACGGTCATTACGCCCAGTGTTGCGAGACACTGGAAGAGGGGCACTACACTCGTAAGCGTAGTGTCCTGTCTTTTGACATCTGTTGCATTTCTGCAACTTCTTGTAGCCTGTAGAGCGAGCCTTCTCGCTCTCTACATAACAGAGTTCCATCGGCTCTGGACCTCCGCTGTCATATCGTCTCGGTGGAAGATACGATGTCGAGCTGGCGCGAGCCTGTCTCAGACTGAAGTCTTCCTGTTCCGCAATGGAAATGGCTTGTTCTAGTGAATCTAGTTCAAGTAGAAACAGGTGAGTCTTGACGGGACCATCCGCAAGACCCTGCATGAACACCGAAACCAACGTGGTTCGTCAACCGGGTTGGAACTTATACAGCTCGTAAGATGTCGTATATGTTGCGCGTAAGCGTGAACAGCACGCTTACCCTGTTTGAGCTTCAAGAGTTCAGTTCGAGCTCTGAACTCAGCTCTAGGAGGTTCAAAAGTTTGTCTGAGCCGCGACTTGAAGACTTCCAACGACCCAAACGCATATGGGTCGTGCAACTTGAGCCCCAAGCCCAAGTCTTGGCACGTCCTGCCAGATTTGATTGGGCAAATGCGACTTGCATAGCCCCGTCGTCGATGCGACGCGCCCTTATGGCGTCATCCAATTCGACGAACCATCTCAAGAGGGAGTCTTCTTCGACCCCCCTATACTTAGAGATGTCAATCTTCAAGGTCTCGGGTCGACGCAAATGCATCGACCCACCAGCAGCAGCCTGCTGCTGTCTCAACAGTTCAAACTGTTGAGAAACCTGTTCTCTCAACAACTCTGCTTGTTGAGAACCTTGTTGGTGAAGCAAGGCTACTTTCTCGCTTTCAGCGTCAAGATCATTTTGAATGAACTTGGCGATAGTAGCATGTTGGGCATCTCTATTGAGAGCCTCTAGCATGACGCTAACAGCATGGATGCCCATGGTTGAACCCATTCGTTCAACCGCATCTCATTCGACATCGCTCAAATGGGAGTAGCCGTCACGCGTAGCGTGAAAGCTTTGGTCATCTTCATCATCCAACATATTCATGTTAGATGTGAACGTGGTCCTTGGACGGACTACGAAGTGCTACCAGGTGTAACGGGGCACCCTCAAGCTTGTACTGATGACAGTACAAGCTACTTATTCTGATGACAGAATAAGGCGGTGCCTCGGAACTTCACGTACACTCGTACGTGCAGAGGAAGACGGTAAGAAGAATCGAGTACTTAGTTTAAGTAAAACGTAGAACTGTATTTTTCATAGTTAATGCATGTTAATAAATCACTATTTATCCTCATCTAACTATGTCTGAATACAAATGTGTATGTCAACCATCTGCTCACCACTCATTGCGTGCGTCTGTCGTGGCGCGCCTTCGTTGGTTGATATAATGGCCTATATCAACCAATTAGAAACTACTCGTAAGTGCTGCAGAATATTTGTCCTTATGACAATATTCTGAGAATATAATTCTTATAGTTATATTCTATTAACAATTTCTTATAAATTGTTATGTAACGATTCACCCCGTTACACAGGGAACTGAATGGCAAGGACTCCGCCGCCACTGTCCGGGATACTATTTCAACGGCTGCAGCAGGAATTTGGTGATACTGTGGCGGAGTATATTGGTCAGCAAATACGCATATGGTGGATCCTCTGTTCCGTTTTTATCTCGACTACTGTTTTGGTTATAGCGCAATCGGGTTCTTTACGAGTGGCAAAAACTCACACTCCTTAAAATTGGCCAACATAGATTTTTTAAGTGACTTCGGCAATCACAAGCTTCATCGGCAAGGGAGCGCAGAACGCTACATACTAAAGCCCAGGGCATCCGACTATGGCAGTGCATTGAGATATTCGACACCAGCACTACACCTTCCAAATTACCATATCACGTGGTGAACCAAGTCCAACTACCGAAAGATTCGACACCGGTGTTGCTAGTCTGGCTAAGGACATTCCAGAAGTCTTGTCTACATTAATTCCGTGGAATCTACTGTCTGTTCCTCTATCTCTTGTAAATTATTTATAGGATGCGGAATGAAATCGGCTTATATCGCAAAAAGGTGCGTTATGAAAAGGGTCCCTATTGAGGATAGTACTAGTTTAAAATTTGTTTGAATTAATTTGGTACTAGTAACGGGAATTGCGTTTTATATATACCCTTTTTGAATATGGACACGGATCTTAGTAGAATCTTTTTAGTCCTAACAAATTTTGGTTAGAAATGATCAATTTATGTAAATCAATATTTGTCCAATTTGTAACAAGGGGACGGAAAGAGAAAATAGAGATCAAAATGGACATAGGCTACGGTCTATACACCCATTGTAGAAATGCAAACACTCCTCTCTTGTATCCTGCGTTGTCCATTTGTAGATAAATAGGGCTATTAATTCGTTTTCTGTAGTGTCACGGATCACCCGACAAAAGCTTGTTGTGTCTACGTTCATGCGGTACGAAACTTTATCTCAGAAAGCGCTTGAGCGTTGCGATCGTGCAAGCGCTGTGTCAAATGCTGGGTCTCGTGCAAATTGTCGCACGAATGGATAGTCGATACTTTAGACGCCTGGACTCCTCCACCTTTTTTCTGTTTTCTCGCACAGCAGCACCGTCTTCTACATGTGCGACTCTAATCACCTAATGAAAAGCAATGCGATGACGGCGCACGACCAAGCGTTGAAGCATCCCTTGCGCCTGCCGCATTACCAAAATTTTACGGTTTAGCTCGAGCTAGTCTGCTCCCTTTCGATGGCGGTCACTTCGTGGGGAATTCTCTCCATAGGGGAGCCGAAGCGATCTGGGATCTGCCTTGAGAACGCTGCACTCGCAGTATCGGATGTGAGGGCAGTATACCGACGGGTCGCGCAAGCGGCCAAGAAGGAAAATGTTACTGGAATGGAGTCGTCCACCGAGCCACGTGTTGCCGCTGCGGCGGTCGCACATCCAAGTCCTGAGGGTCGCGCAAGCGACCAAGAGGTGGGCCATCGTTGCGGATGGATGAGCTTGTAGAGAAGATATCACGGCGGGTAGGCGTTCCTCAAGCCTCGTAGTTACGTCGATGATCGCGCTCCACGTCAATGGGCCGCCCAATCGGCAGACTGAGTGTCACTGGGCAGTCAGTTACATGATATTGGCACCAAATGGTGTCAATTGGGATATCGTGGCATGACAATCCCCTGTCAATATTACCCGAGATCGCTAATATAGAAGCAATATTACCTCTTAGGATAATATTCACGTGCTGCTCGAAGATTGATTGATGCTGATCTATACATAAACAATTATTACCACTAATTGCTGCTAGACGCGCGCAAAGGGTGGTGCGCAGCTTGACGTCATTCGACAATGTAGATTAATGTAGTTCGATAAAATTGCGTTATATTGATAGCTTAACGATACTGAATCCAGTTCTCTTATCAACTTCCCTTGAACGAGTTATTTAAGAAAATTAACTATCCTCTGCACGTACAAGAGCTAAACGTTAGTTCTGTGGCACCCAAACAAAGGGTGACCCGTTACACCTTGTAGCACTTCGCAGTCGATCCAACGACTACTTAGTGTCCGTCCAATATGAACATGTTGGACGTAGAAGACGATAGCTTTCACGTCACACGTGAAGGCTACTCCCATCTAAGTGACTCAGAATGGGAGGTAGTCGGACGCATGAGTGTGCTCATGGGCGAACCCGCCATCGGTGGCATGTTGGAGGTCTATAAACAGAGAGCAACATGCTGCTATCAAACAAGTTCCTACAAGGGGAGCTTGCCGTCGAAGATGGAAGATAGCCTTCCCACAACAGCAAGGCTCTCATCATTCGATGAGCGGACCGACGCACATGTGTCGACCCAAAACCTTGTAGATTGATATCTGAAGGTACAAGGGAACCGATGAAGATTCCCTTTTGAGATGGTTCGTCGAGCTAGACGACGCCATCAGGGCCCATCACATCGAGGGCGACAAGATGCAAGTCACCTTCGCCCTGTCCAATTTGACAGTACGAGCAAAGAATTCGGCCTTAGGGCTCAAGCTTCACGACCCAAACGTGTTTGAGTCGTTAGAGCTTGAAGTCCCGGCTCAAAGAAACGTTTGAGTCGCCAAGAGCCGAGTTTAGAGCTCGCTCTGCACTCTTGAGGCTAAAGCAAGGTAGGCGTGAAGTGCACGCTTACGCACAAGACCTGCGGTACCTTGCGAGTAGCTTCACGGAAAACCCTGTTGATGAGCACACGCTCATCAACGTGCTCATCTTCGGCCTTGTGGATGGGCCGGTGAAGACGTAAATGTTCCGAGAGGACTTCCACACGCTGGAAAGGTCGATAGCGTGTGCGGAACAAGAAGACGTCAGCCTGAGACAGTCTCAGGCTAACTCGTCAGACTATCGTCCACCGAGACGACATAAAACTGGAGGTCCCGAACCAATGGACGTTTGTTACATCGAGAGCGAGAACTCTAGCTCTCTGAGTCACAAAAGAACGGCAAGATGCCATCTCTGTCAGAATATCAGGCTCTACGCTCATGAGTGTAGTGTCCCAAGCACCGCAACACGTCCAAAGACAGGACGTGGTGACCTCCGTTGGCCGAGGGAAGGTCCAAGGCGTGGATCCGACCATGTCGCTAAACCGTTACAGCAAGTCGGAAATGCCAAAAAAAACGGACAGGGTCAGTAGGGGCGGATCACCCTAATGATCCAGCAACTTCAAGAGAATTTGCAGGACTCTTGACGAATATTGCTCCCAACACACAGTGTATGTGTGTTACTGCCCCTAGTGACGAGGTGTCACTCATCACTTTGAAGATCGAAGTCACAAGTGGAATGTCACTTTCGCGCCCTAGTTGACTGTGGGGAGTCGAACAGTTTTATTTCGACGCCAGTCACTAGAAGATAGTAGACTCAACTATGTTCAGCGAGAGTTCCCTCCAACGAGGATGATGGTGTGCCTTGCTACAAGCTTATCCGTAACAGTGAGAAAACGTGTAGTGGGAATCCACTACACTCTAGAAGGAAAGCAGTACGATGATGACTTCATCGTACTGGATTTGGATGACAAATTTGAGGTCATCTTCGGTCTGCCACGACTTCGAAAATACCAGCCATGGATCAGCTGTCAGCATCGATCCGTGAAGATGCCTGCCGTTTGTTCATCGGATGGCCATCTGATGAACGGCTTGGAGTGTCCACAAGTATTTGGATGTACTACGAGTGAGTGCGATGGCCTCACCTGTGGTACGGTCGTTAGTACGACTGCACAAGATCACACTGAAGAAGGCCACTGCACTGTAGAACCAGCTTCCGGCACCTGTGTAGAGACACATGCTGCACCGAAGGTTCAACACTTGAAGAAATCGAGTGGACTGGAACACGGGTGAACTCCAAGAAGGGTGAATCCAAAGAACAGAAATTAGTGTTGTTCAGGATGGACAACACGTTGAAGCAAGATCGACTAACAGAGAGTCGATCGTAGAGCAATCCTGATCGACTGAAAGAGAGTCGATCAAAGAGGACGTGACTGTGGTAAAACACCACAGTCATTTTGCGTATTGGAATAAGTTCCAGCGTTCCTGATAATGATAACTCCCGAGAGAGTTATGTTGAGGGTGTGGATCCCGAAACGCCTGCGGATGTGTTTTCTTAGGAAATCACCGAGACAGTGAATGTCTTGGTGAATCACGGATCAAGTGTAGGCGCTTATACACTTTATTTGGATACACCTCCGAAGTCAGTTTCGGAGGTATTAAAGTTGGCAACGCTAGAATTTAAACAATTCTTGCGAGATCTGTGTAAAGACAAGATCTAGCAGATCTGCATACTCGTCACAGAGGAAGAGTACGTCGCCGATATCTAGTCGGCAAAGTGTTACTGGGAACGGACGAGTTCTCAGTAGATCATCGATGGATAAGAGTGTGTTTGATGAGAAGAACCGTATTGAGCGATACACGTCTCAATCTTGGGAGTCTTTGAAGAAAAATCCTTTGTATAAGGATTTAGTTGAATTTAGGGATGTTTCCCTGAATCCCTGCCATGCGAGCTGCCTAAGGACAAAGGAACTCAGCATGAAATCGAACTAAAACCTGGTTCAAAGTACTGTGTCATGAAGCATGGTCACTGCCTCGTGAACAGGTCACAGCATCGACAAATTCTTATCCATTTGCTCAGCGGCTAGTCATGTGAGGGAATCAACATATCCACACAGCTCTCCGACCTTCTGTGTGCGAAAGGCCATAGGAGGAAGGCGGATAGTGCACGCGTTCAACAAATTGAACGCTGCAACGTTACCGGCTTAAACACCGATACCGAGGAAGGAAGTCATCATAGATGGTATGGCAAAAAGTACCATATTTTCGTCCATGGATCTGATGGATGGGTTCCATCAGATGCGTGAACGGGGGAAGCATCCCGTACACAGCAGTCAGCACCCCCAGCGGTATGCTCTAAGAGTGGCTAATGATGCTACATGGGCTAAGTAACGCCCCCGCAACGTTCAACTGATGTGTTACGAACCTTTTCCGATCGGTCGCGATTTCGCACCGGGTTACTTCGACGTTGTCTTCGTCCACAGCCGGGCTATGTATGGAAAGACGGACGTGGAGGCTCATAGAATTTACGTCCGGAAGGTTCTTACTATAATGCGAGGGCATAAGTTGTTCGCGAACC